TCATCATCATCATCATCATCATCATCATCATCATCATCATCATCATCCTCTGTTTGTTGATCTAAAACGACCATTGGTATCATCCCCCAGACCCACATCTAAACTTTTCATGGCAAGTGCCATGGGTTGGGGTCCTTGGCCGGCCCGTCCACAAACACACCGTCTGTGGATGATCGTGGTCGCGGGCCAGTGCTCGCTGTCGCGTTGGCTCTCCAGCGGTGCCAGGCGTCAAAATGAAATATGTCAGGCATCATGTAGAATCATAATGAAGTCCATGAAGTAAGTCCAAAATCCAAGATGTAGGATTGATAGTAATTACTTTCATGTTCATGAAGATCTCCACATGACACGAACATTCTTGATGGCCTTCATTGTCCCCTTCAATGGACTTGAATGACCCAGTTAGTTAAACATAATGACATGGTAATGTTCGGGGTCATGAAGATCTATACAACCGTCTAAAAGCCAGCCTAGGATGGGGTCATCCACATTCCAGATCACCATTGCTGTGTTTCTCTGTTTTATATTGGAGCACTCAGAGTTTTCATGTTCTCTCCCCCTATCGAACACACCGCTCGGAAGCAAGCTGGGATGAATGATTCGGAAGCAAGCTGGGTCCATGTGGAACATTTTGCACATAGAGACTAGATGGGTATGACTCTCTTCTGCGCACCCCCAAATCATATTGCAAACCTACTTGCAGGCCATTAGGCGACCCACGAATCTGACTGGATCGATACTCTCAAGCCCGGTGTCCACCGAGGACCAAGAAGTGTGATGGTCCAAATCACCTCTTCTGTTGTCAAAACACTGCGAACATGGTCCTCAGGTATAGTGTATTAATAAACAATTATAGTATATATTATATTATATATTATAATATTATATATATATATCTCTTTGTATATATCGCCATATATAAATGGTCCAATGATTCCTGAGAGTTGCCTCAAACATGTACTGGCTTCTATAGGCCACTATTGCATTCTGTGAAAGGGACCATTCATTCCACCACTCTTACCTGCCTGGGACCGCACCATCCGGTTGCCATGTACACATGGCGTTCTGCCCAATCCCTCGTCGCGGTCTGCCCCTCTCCTCCTGAAAAAGGAACTGGTCGAACACTTGGCATCGATGCTTGGCTGGGCATGAAAAAGGGCCAGAGTCAAAGCGATACCATAGGTCATAATGAAGACTCTTGATTAATAAACCCCCCTTATGAGGAGGTTGTTCAATTCAATTGCGGGAGGTTATAGTTGGCTAGGCTACCGGCTCGACCGACGGCTGCGTGAAGTGCCTGCTGGACCGCCCAAGGGGAGCCCCCAACCGTGAACCAGGTCGAGCCCCAAGACCGAGCGGTCCGCCCCGTCAGAGACAGAACAAGAACAGCGGTCGGTCTCCGGTGGGTCGGAGAAAGGTCAGCAGTGCGCCCATTCAATCCGACGCATCCGTTGGGTGTGCACCAACGCATCCGGGACACGAATGTGGAGACCCCAATGGGTTGTGGTCGATTTTCTGAGACCCTTCACCCAGGGGCTCTTCCGACCGCCTGGGAGGTCTCCATGTTCGAAAAGACACACCCATATTCAACCTCCTTCACATATGCACCACCCTCGTGTGGTGATCTATGTATATGATATACAGCTGCGAGGGGATACTGTAACCAATCCTTGAAGTCAAACTGTTGATTGGGCCAGGCTGAGCCTGCCTGGACCCTGGTAATTCTGCATGATTTGCAGCCTGATTGCGATTTAGCAGTGACAAATCAGGTACATATATACATCTTGGACCACCCAGTGGTACAGAAACTAGACGACAGGGTGGCCCGAAAGCAAGTAGGCGGAAGAGAACAAATAGAAGGGAAGAAAAGCGAAGTAACAGAAGATGAATGAGCACTAAAGAAATGAAGAGATGATATATGATGATTCAAAACATTAAGATGAAACAAAATGAGATGATGATGAGATGACACAATATATAATATATATATCTATATATATATATACATTATGATTATGATACTATTATCACGTTATTACCAAATCTATTAATGTATATTCTGTTGCACTGTACTTCGGAGCCCAAACGGTAGTCCCGGTCGATTCTTTTTTATCCAGCGCCGGTCGAGCTCAAACGCTAGTCCCGGTAGTAAGAGCCGCCGAAGTGTGCGAAATCGCACGTCCCAACCTGGCATCAGGACAACCAATGCTCATACAAATGCAACACTTGAAAAACAAAACAAATTACCCACAGTTCAACTCATGTTGTTTTGTCGGTTATCAGATATAGTTGCACACCCAGTCGGAACAGGATCGACTTCGAACAACTCTCGGTCGTGGATCTCGTGCCTTGTGGAGTCTCTGCACGTTCAGCTGGAACAAGGGTCGACTTCGGACAACTTCCGGTCGTGGACCCAGGTCCTTCTAATCAGTTTGGTCACGACACTTTGCAATAGCCAATTCACAGCTTTTCGCCGATACTTGTAACTTCGTGGCTGGTGACTATATGTGGCATCGACATGCCGGCCTCCTGGAATTCCATTGCGTGGTGTCCACTTTCATTTGGTCCCACTTGTTGCCGCTCAACCTGTTCAAAAGACTCAATGTCTCTGGAAACGAAACTGGTCTTTCAGGTCAAATCACAACAAGCAAAGAATATCATTCAAGTCCAACAATCGAACAAAAAAAAGATGTCTATAGAGCTCTGTTTGCACAATTTTATCGGTTATCAGGTATATTCGCGCGCCCAGTCGGAACAGTATCGACTTCGAACAACTCTCGGTCGTGGATCCCGTTCCTCATGGGGTCTCTGCACATTCAGTCGGAACAAGGGCCGACTTCGAACAACTTCCGGTCGTGGACCCAGGTCCTTCTAGCCAGTTTGGCCACGAATTCACAGCTTTTTGTCGACACTTTGGTCACGACGTTTCAAATTCCCAACGCCAGGCATGCTTGTGATGCTCCAAGGATCGCAGTGCATACAAGACATATGCTCGTCGCTTCCACGGTCTCAGGCTTGGACGCTGCTGGAGCACACAGTCAATGGCATCCTCGACACTGAGATCCCACCAGATCACCAGCCAGGCGCAAAGCGCGGCGGTACTGCGATTGATGCCTCCAAAGCAATGAAACAAAGGCGTAAACCTGATGTCGTGGTTCCAGTAGTAGGAGGCCACATCCCAAAGAACAT